GACACTCCCTGTTTCTGCATTCTCCTGGACCTGCAGTGTGTGTGCGTCCTGTGAAGCGTGTTACAGTATGATAATTGAATTTTGATGAAAGCCACATGGCTGCTAACTCGATGTGGAAATACAAACACACACACACACACACACACACACACACACACACACACACACACACACACACACACACACTCTGTATCCGGTCCTGTGTTAAAACAGAAAAAAACTCGCTGCTCAAGATTTTAAAGAAATGTTAAGATCTGTCGATATAATAATAATATCCACAGATTTCTGTTTCAGCAGCAGGATTAAACCCAGTTTGCTGTTAAAACATTAAAGCTGTGGAGCTTTACTGTGAACAAACAAAATGTTTACATCCAGAGTTTCTCTCCAAAACCGCCTGGTTTAGTTTAGAGTTGGGTTCAGCTGCCAGCTCATTTCCGTCCGCCGTCCCTCAGCACGCCGACACTGATACAGCAAAACAAAGAGTTAGAATTGGCTTCAAGTTGTTTAAGCCATGTGCCAATTAACAATAAAGAGTGTAAACGGAATACTGCATTTAAAAAATAAATCTCTTAATGGATATTTCTGCTGCAGCGACAGAAAGTTGCACTGAAATCAAGTGCTGTCATGGAGCAAACAGGTAAAAACACAGATGACCGTGCAGCTGATCGGAATCAGAAAGAGCTTTAATTCCCTAGTTTTACACGTACGAGGAATTTGCTGTGGTGATAAGGTGCTACACGTAGACAAACATACAGTTGACATAAATAAATGTAAATATATAAATATGGAATAAAGAGATGCAACTTCTAAAAGAATAAAAGAACCGTGTGTACAGAAAGAACATGGCAGATATTTATGTGTTTGTGTCACAGGGGGAGAGGATTTGTATTTATATAAATTGACAAAATATAGAAGAATAACAATGATTAAGCTCAATTATGTGTGATCTGCTGTTAAAAAGGCATATTATTTATCTAGTAACAGAGCAGCTTACTGCCGGTGCTGTGACAATTATGCTTCTTTGTGGACAAATGCTATTGTAGTGCAGATCAATGGTGTCTAACCCTAAAGTAGCACATCTTGATAGGTAGCACATATCGACACACCTAACAAACTAAACAAAGTTCACTTTTGGCCTCAGGTGATAACGCCAACAACAGTCATTCAGGCTTGGCCAAGTCGCTATGACAGCCAGGAGCACCGACGAACCGGCGGTATTGATCACTTGATAATGACCCCACAGAGGTTAAATAGCTGAGTTTGGATGAGAGACGAAACGTTTAAGACACTTACTACTTCCCCAATGATGCTGTGCGTGCAAAAAGCTCTTTATGCTGCTTTATTAACCCTTGCATGTTCCTCAAATTTAAGTCGCTTTGGATAAAAGCGTCTGCCAGATGAGTAAATCTAAATGTAATCTTTAACCAAGTCTAGTTGCCCTTGATTTTAACCTTCCTTGGACTCAGCAACTTACCAAACTCTGTGATTTAAAAAAATAAATAAATAAAATTTATGGTGCCAACTCAAATTACTCAGGCGCCAGTTTTGGAGGACAGAGATCCGATGAACGGGAGCTTTGTGTATAATTATTTGCTCCTCTCAACGCCATCAAGAAGTCATTGATCAAGAGGAATTTACAGCTCATAACGTGAAGAGATGCTCCACCATATCTGCTATTATTATATTAATTTTATTTATCATTTATTTAACCAGGTGAGTCTCACTGAGATTAAAATCTCTTTTGCAAGAGAGACCTGGCCAAGATGCAGCATAAAAGAACATAAAGGACAAGTTTCCTGTCACAGGTTGGCTGAGTGAAGGCTGAGGTGTGGACCCAAATGCAGACCAAAAGCGAGGAGGATGCAGTTCAAACGAAGATTTATTAACTCAGAACTAAACTGAAACAGGCTTACATGGAGCTCAGGGCAAAAGTCCAAACAAAGCTAATCCAAATCCGGGGAACAAACCAGAAATCCAGGGACCAGAGCACAAGGCGGAACACTCAACATCAGACTGAAGACAACTGAGGACAATACACTGGTAAAGGAGCAGGGAGGGAAGCACAGCTGAGATACATCAGGTAATCAAACAAAGCTAGACAAGGACACCAGGTACAGAGGGTTACCAAAATAAAACAGGAAGTAAAGTTCACAGGAACACACAAGGACTGATCTACCAAAGTAAAACACCAAAACATGAAAAGACAGAACAGACAAAAAAAAAGACAGACAAAATCAGGGCACGGACAGAGATGGGACCAAACAGGAGACAAGACTACACTAAAACATGGAAATATAAGACTAAGGACTAAGACACAGACCATAATGATAAAACACAGAAGTACACAGATCAGGAAAACACTAAACAAGAACTAAAGCACAGGACTAAGAACTTACTAAACAAGACTACACAGAGAAACACAGAACCAAAAACGGACTTAAACAGGAAAGACATGAACACAAAACCACATTCCTAACAGTTTCCAACATATAAAAGACATCAAGTACACACGCATAAATAACACAAGCCCCTGTGATGAATAAAGCAGAATGCAACTTTATAAACAGCGACAATGACCAATGTTCACCTGCTCCAGATCCTTCAGAGTTGAAACAAACTGTCTATAAGAAATAAAGGCAGTCAGTTTCAACAAGTTCTGAAGAAGGTTCAGCAAACACAGAGGGCCAACAAGTGTAGGACGTCCTTTGAACGTGATCCATAATGGCCTACTTTTTAAAAAGATAATAGGTAGGAGCTAGTCCAAGAAGAGCCTTAAAGATGAAACACAGCCAGTGAGTGTACCTGCTTGCATAGAGAGAGGGCCATTTAGCTTTATAGTAAAGGGTACAATGATGTGTCCTATAACTACAACCAGTGAAAAAACACAATGCACAATGATAAACAACATCCAATTTCTGTAGGCACTGGGCAGAAGCGCTCATATCAGCATGATCTAATATGGGAAGAAAAGTGGCCGTCACCTGGTGTTTTCTAGCTCGAATGGATAAGCATGATTTTGATCTGTATTAGTAGTTCTGTAGTTGAGATGCTTGAAGTAGTGACTGGAAGTTGTCTTGAGTTTGTGAATACCATTACTTTGGACGTTTTTCAGCATTTAAGACCAACTTAAGCTGTTTTAAATGGTAACTGGTTTGCTTTCATGCCAGGAAAGCTCAGCGAGTCACAACCTTTTTGGCCGAATGAAGAGTGAAACGCTGCCACACTTTGAAGGTTTTAGGTTGTGAAAGTGTTACTACCACGGCTGATGTTGCTAACTTTACTGTTCACTCCAGTAAGAGGATGGTGTCACTAAAATCATCTCAAAAATACTGGCGAAAGTTGTTGCCAATCCGCTCACTGACACTCTCACTGCCCACAATATACTTGACAAGTTCCAGTCTGGTTTCCGTCAGAATTATTCCACAGAAACAGCACTTCTTAGGATCTCAAATGACATAGTGATGTCTTCTGATGCGGGGAAGTGCACTGTTTTGGTGCTGCTCGATCTTAGTGCAGCATTCGAACAATAGACCACTTTGAATTGAATCCTAAATTTAACAGGGAGCCAATGTAAAGAGGACAGAATGGGTGTTATACGAGTTCTCCAGCTGGACCTGGTCAACAGCCTTGCAGCAGCATATTGGGCCATTTGTAAACGGTCCAGGGACGACTTGCTGAGAGACGTAAAAAGGGAGTTGCCATAATCTAAGCAGGAGGAAATAAAAGCATGGATTATCATCTCAAATTCTGGTTTTGAGACAACAGGTTTGAGCTTTGCAATGTTTCTTAAATGAAAGAAACACGACCTGGTCAGAGTTTTAACATGTCGATCAAAGGGCATTGATGTGTCAAACATTACACCCAGATTCCTAAGATTTGATTGTACTGCTGATGAAAGTGATCCAATATGCTGAGTGATCGAGGGAGCTATGCTATTGGGTGCAACAATAAGGACTTCAGTCTTGTCTGTTTTCAGTTGTAATAAGTTTTTAGCCATCCAGCTTTTAACGGCAGTGAGGCAGTTGCATAGTGTGGTCAGTTTGTCATCCGACCCAAATGAGACATACAGCTGGATGTCATCAGCGTAACAGTGATAAGAAATACCCTTGAAATTACTAATAATGTTGCCTAAGGGGAGAATATACAATATAAATATAATCAGGCCCAAGACGGAGCCCTGTGGCACACCACAGGATAGAGCAGCAGTTCTGGACAGCTGGAAGCTCCTCTCTGAGAGGAAGGAATAGAACCAGTCCAAAGCAAACCCAGAGATACCCACCCACTTCCTAAGCCTGTCAATCAGGATGCTGTGCTTGTTTTAACATACAGAGCGCTGCACCCGGGCACATCTCCGACATGCTGCATCCGTATATTACCACCAGGCCACTAAGATCCTCACACCAAGGCCTACCAGCTGTAGGACGTCTCAAAACTAGAGGTGACCGTGCTTTCCAAGTGGTTGCACCGACACTGTGGAATACTCTTCCGTCAGACCTACGCTCTGAGGTCTCAGTCGAAGCATTCAAAAATCAGCTGAAGACTTTTTTTATTTAAAGAGGCCTTTGTCTCCCTGTAAACCTTTAACTGTGAATATTGATGTTTTCTTTAAAATGCATTAATTTTTGAATTAATTTTTGATTATTTATGCACCTGTTAATAGACACAAGTACATTGATTATATTGATTGGTGTCTTTATAATGTTTCATGCTTATGTATGATTGTCTGATTGCTCCACTGTTTTATTGTTGCTTTTATTATTATCATTGTAAAGCACTTTGACTTGCTCTGTGAAAGGTGCCTGTTTTAAGGTGCCTTACTTACTACAGCCCGATGTCGCCACAATAATTGTGGGAAGTAATTGCATCATCGATTTTTGTCGACTACGTTCAGTATTTGTTGCACCCCTAATCCAAAAACATGATAAAATATAAAATGAAAACAAACATCACATTCTCAGCTGATGAGCGTCAACGGTGACGTTTAATAAAGAAGTCAGAAGTAGATGAACACAAAAAGAAACTTTATTTACAAAGTCAGCTTTCATGAAATAAATTAACTTAAAGACAGAAAAGTGACACGTCACAATATATTAGGACCGTATTTTCATATTAAATAAAAGCCGCAGAGGCGTACATTACATGTGACCTATTCAGAGGAGGTAAATTATTCTGTTCATAGAGAAGTGAAACCTGTCAGGAGATCAATCTGATGGATGATTGCGTGAACGATCAGCAGGAATGTGAAGGTTTACAGTTTTTTTTATTTTTATTTTTTAAACGTTCTGTCTGTTGAGTCAGCGTGTGGATAAAGTTGAACTAAATGAACAGAAGTGATTTTTAGGAGCGTGTCCTCGGCCGTGTGCAGTCCTCTCTGTGTTCACATGACTGACCTGAGGGGAGAAAGAAAAGGAGAAGGTCACGTTAGGTCACTGTAGATCCTCAGGACGTCGTGTTGGCACAGATATCTGTTTGGATGTTTACGTTTTCACATTAGGAAGAGAGTCATATTTCCCCCCTGTTAGCTTCTCTGCACCAGAATGCAGGGTTACTTGTGGTTCCTAGAGTCTCCAAAAGTAGACTAGGAGCCAGAGCGTTCAGCTATCAAGCTCCTCTCCTGTGGAACCAGGTTCCAGTTTGGGTTCAGGAGGCAGACACCATCTCCACATTTAAGAGTAGGCTTAAGACTTTCCTCTTTGATAAAGCTTATAGTTAGGGCTGGCTCAGGTAGTCCTGAACCATCCCTTAGTTATGCTGCTATAGGCCTAGACTGCCGGGGGATTTCCCATGATGCACTGAGCTCCTCTCTCCTCTACTTTCTCTCCCTCTGTATGCAACCTCATCCCATTATTCCATGTTACTAACTCAACTTCTCCCCTTTCCGGTAGTCTTGTGCTTTCTCGTCCCTCTCCTCTCTCCTCCTGTCACTTCCTGCAGGTGTTTCTGGTTCTGGAGTAGAGATGCACGATTTGGAGAAAAAGTCTCTTGGGGACAATTTTGCGATTTTCGATTAAGTTAAACAATATTTATAACGATAACAAGTAAAACAGAATAAGGGGAGCGTGTTGCTATCAGGAGGTGGCGGCTAGAAGCAGCACATATTGGCACGCTGGCACCGGCTCAATGGACGTCTGTCTAATGCAGAATCTCGGTCCACAACCTGGAGGAGGAACTGTACACGAGTGTATTAGATAAAGAGTATAATGTTTAGTTAATAGTTTACTATAATATATTAAATACTAGATTCATTAGAATTTCGTATAACAGTATACTTTTTACCACATGTTGAATATTAAATCCAGTTACAGCCGTTTCATTTCTGTGGGTTATTTTTATTTATTTAATCCTTGTGTAAGGTAAATGCTCTACATCGGTCTCTAATTTGTTAATGTTCAGAACTAACTTGTCAATAATCATATTGTTCAACATTTAATGATTTGCTGTAGCACATTAAACTTGTCCCACCCCATCCAGCCTGTGATTGGTCTGTTGACGAAAAGTGAAACCGACAGGCACGTCGGCTCTGTGAAAAGTCGAGCGTGTTGAACAACAAAAGGCACCGATACAGCGAACGTTAAACGGTCAGCGAGTCAAACCTTCCTTATCCTCTCCCAGTTTTCTTCTGTCTGACCGCTTAAGCTGCTGCCGACGTCGCTCTGTCTCTGTCACAGAGCGACCGGAGCACGAGTCCGACTAGGTTTTGAATGATTGGCGGCGGCGGGGCAGGGAGGGGAGGGGGGTTAGGGTAGGTTCTTGTCTTAAAAGTTAGTGGCACACTGCTCAAATATTTTTTCTCATTTTAAGCTTATCTGCCCGGTGTGGGTGAAGATAATGAGCAGACTGCAGAGCACAGAGAGTGTCGCATACTTTTTCTGTTTTATTAAATCACACACTTTTTGCGGTTATGTAATCGCACATGACGACATCGCGATTAGATTAATTGTGCAGCCCTACTCTGGAGTCTGGATCTGTGGTTGCGTGCTTCCTGCTGCCCCACCATCACAGGGGAAGCCCTTTAGTGCCATTGTTCAACGCTTAAGACACAGAAAACTAAGGATAAGGAAGAAAAAAAAAAAAGACTTTCACTCAGGAGACCGGTGTTTGTTTCCCGTGTGAAACAAACAGTCAACATCGATTCATTTTAGTGATGTAAAATACGTTTTGTAAGTTACGTTGGTATTTTAACCCAAACCATAATCTATTCCTAAACCTAACCAAATAGTTTTGGTGCCTAAGCCTAACCAAATTCCACCGTTTCACAACGTTAAGTCTAACCAGACTTTGCATATTAGTTATTGCTACCTTGCCCTACACGTGCAAAAATGACACTAAAGGGGACCCAGGGCGTTAAAATGGGTTGTTTATCTCTACCAGACATTTCTATCATCTAATCTGTAATCTTAATAGATAATTAATGCACAAATAAACAGAACATAGCCTGAACATTACAGTTTTTATCACATATCTCCATCTAAGATCAAAACCAAACTGACCCACTCGTTTAGGCCTGAGGCTCCACTGTGGTGCAGGCACCTTTAACTATTAAGTTTTACTTGTGAACTGTTCTGGTCTGGATGAATGAAAGTGTTTCTCACATTATTCACTTATTGTCTGACACTTTTTGAAGCATCTGGGAGAGCAGAGACAGTAGCTGATGTTTAATTTCAACGTGGCAGCTGTTTCGGTTTCCCTCCGTTTTCAGTGAAAGCTGCACATCAGCAGCTTCAGGGTCGTACTGGATCAATTTGGAAGCGGTACTGCTGTGGACTCAGGAGCAATTAGGCAGCGTTCAAAGTCCAAAACACAAAAACTGAAGTTACTTTGGAAGAAAACTGAGTCGAGGCTTAAAAAGACACTCTGGGCTGCAGTTCCACGAGTGACGCGTGAGTCTACGGACAGCTGTATTGATTAAAACAGAAACGTAGTGAACTTCCAAGTTCCTCCACATCATTGCCAACACTTTAAAGACTCCATATTGAACACTTTGAGAGTTCTGTCAAACAATGTAACCCAACATCAAATCAGACATTTCAGTGGGAACCAAAACAGATTGTGAACTTAACGGTGTTTCCTGTCGGTGTGTGTTCACAGAGACGGGTGTGGCTTCCTGTAGGTCTCGTTGGTGATGGACAGGCGGGTCAGCCGAGCGCCGTAATAATCCACGATGTAGTTTGATCCGTCTGCGGGACCCACGATCTGCAGGACGACAGGAAACACACGAGGCAGGTGAAAATAATATTAACACACAGAGTGCAGGAAAAAACTATGACTCTATCACGATAGAAAGAAATTTAGAAGTCGATACCAATACCAGAGAAATTCCATTATTTGCAATGCCACGGTAAAAAACCATGTACTCCAACATACACTCCTTTAATAAAAACATCTGAACATTACAAACAGCTGTGAAAGCTGTGATGTCCAGGTTTGATTTCAATATATTCATAAATGAGCAAACAACCTTGCACTGTGCATAATAACTTTCTTTTTTTCCCATTGCAGGTGTGTGAAATGTTTAAGGGTGGTCACTATCTATATTTGCAGAGGTTTGACATTTCTGTATTGAAAAACTAAACGGTTACTGATGATTGAACAGTAACAGGCGCGTTGGACAGACGTTCAGTTCTTGGTTCTGCAAACTGCACCGTCACCTTTGATGATTTTGAGCTGATCTAAACTGTGAAACGTCTGTCTGAATTAGCTCTCGATCAGATCCTAGAACTGGGAGAAATCCAGGCTCTGACATGGATCTGTTCCATCTGTAACTTCATCCTGTTTTCAAAACTGTCACTGCAGCTGCGCTTGTTACCATCTTTTATGTGTTGGATCTCCGGTACCTAGAAAAACGTGTACCGACAGAATTTGTTCTCGGCTCTTCTGACATTTAGGAATGCACCGAATGTTCGGCCACCGAAATGAATGGGCCGAAAATAGCAAAATAAGCACTTTCGGTGTTGACATGTCAGCAGTGTGGAAGCATTTTAAAGTGTCTGAGCCGTTTGCAGATGCTGTTCTGCTGAATTGTTTCCCAGCACATCCACTCCATCTGTGGCTGACTTCTTAGAAAAGAACCGCTTTGTGTTTCTGTCTCTCCTCTGTGAGAAGGAGATTAAACTAGCCGCACCTAAATTTGGAGTGCACACGTATTCAAGCCTTTACGGTAAGTGAAGCAGCCCAGAGCGAGCTGACAGGCAGGTTAGAGACTTTATCCTGTCAGTTTGTCTCTTTAGTATGAAGAGAGGCTGTGAAGTCTTCATGTTACAACATTATTTATCAAACCGGGTCGGACTGGATGGATTTAGCGTGTGACATGTGACAACGTCCGGTTTTCAAAATAAGATGTCTGTACAGGATGGAAATAAGATTAATTGGATTATATTCACAGAAAGCCAAGAATAGTGACATCCCTATTCCATTTAGACTTGAACACCTGTTACCTCAGCAGCTGGACTGACAGAAGACATCGACTCATCGGTGTGTTTTCCTACACTTGTTCCTGATCATCTGATTTGTTAAAAACAGCTGACTAACTAATCCATAACACTGAGGCCCCATCCACACAGTTATAAAGCGAATACGATCTCCGTCCACAGCAGCGTTTTAGCTGCGTATCAGAGTTGATCTATATTAAAACAACCGAAAACGCACATCTAGTGGCCGTTCATGTTCACTGTGCATCCACGTGCCGGTGTAAACATGAAGCAGATGGTCTATTCCGTAGTTACAGAACATTTGGTGAAAGAATAAAGTACTACAGACGAAGAACCACAGCAGGTTCAGTTAAAAGCGGCGGAAAACAGACTGGGAGTCGTCTCAAAGTAAATACGGCGACATGCAACGTACAAGCGTAGGCTGTAAGTGTTTGCACGGTACAAAATATTTTAATAAAAATACAAAATCTAAAACTCAGCAGCATTGTGTTTCTGCTCTGCATGTATGTAAGCGTCTGCATCGTCGTTTCTAAAGTCCTCCGTTTTTGCCCGCCTTCACTAAAACACCACCCCGGCATTTTAAAACGAAAAACGGGGTCAGTAGCGTTTCCAAAACTTTTTTTTTTGCCATTTCAGTCTGGACGGGAGGTGCAAACGTAGCAAAAGATCTGTTTTAAAACAAAGACGCAGCAGTGTGGACGGGGCCTGAGGGTGTCCACTCTTAGAATCCCAGATCTGGGAAAACCTGCACTCGACAGGTCCTCAATCTCACTGCGAGACTCGTCCACCGGTGGCTGACAAATACATGCCACGACAAAAAATTCTGACAGAATCAGAAATTTAGGACCAAATTCTCACAATGTTTCTTCTGCTACGAGGCCACAGCTACGCGCCAACCAATCAGCATCAAGCATGCCATGATGCAGAATACACAGGCAGACATATACATGAAGATCCCACAGCGGTGGATGTTGAATGAGGTTAAATAAAGACCAAACGCAGGGGCCACAAAGTCTCTTGGTGCTGATATATTTATAAAACAAGGTTATTTAGGGGGGGGGCTATTTTATAAAAGGATAACAAGTGATATCCTGGCGTTCTGTATGTTACAGCCCGGCGGGTTAATGACAACATTAACTGCTGTCACGCTCAAGTTTAAACTCCCCAATCAGTCAAACATGGCTGATGACTCTGATCCACCGCTGGTCCCCTTCACACCTTCCTGTGATGGATTTCCAGCTCCTATTATCTAAAACACTTGAACAGGAAGGAGTGATTCGTCCCTTCACCTCTGGTTTCCCCTCGCTCCATCCGTCTGTCTCCGTCCTCTCAGAGTCCATTAGGAACTTCTGGAAGCATCATTCATCCTGAGGCTGAGACGCCGCGCCGCAGAAGGATGGATGGGCGTAAATAATAATTCAGAAGGCCGACGCCTGTTTATTCATCAGGCTCGGTGGTCCCCCCCCCCCCCACCTCCACGCCGGGCAGTTAGCGGCTAAAGTATGAGGGGCCGCCACCGCCGCGTGCCACGCTGAAATGGATCCTCTGGGGAAACAAGGAACTCTTCATCACAGGCGTCACTCTTAAAGAGGACATGTGAATGTGCGCTGAAGTCGGGTTCAAGCGTTTTGGAGTTTAAATCACTGCTCGCGGATCAGTTTGAACAAAGTCAGTGCAAATGGTCGACAGATACGGGTTTTACAACTGCCGATATTTAGAGAGCAGAAAAGTCACGCACAGCAGGGGTATTTAATTTAAGAGGTCCAGTTAGAGAAAATTTCACATCCAAACGACTAACTTGCGTTAACATTCAGTACCATAACGTGTGGTTGTCTCAACATATGTTTTTAGTCAACTGACTTTATTTCAACAATATTTACTGTCACTTTTCACATCAAACTGGACGGATAATAAATAAATCATAACAATAATAAATAATAATAAATTCTAAATTGTAGGTAAAATAAAATAAAGTGCTTAACTTCATAGAAAAATGAAATAAAAAGTGCAGCCTGAAGTGATAAAGTGCAGTCTCAACCAATTTTATAATAAACACTCGACACATCTTAACAAATGAACAGCTGTAACACCTCCTCTTCTCTTTATAAACATCTTCCATACTTTCTCTTGTTCGGTGAGAAACGTGAGCTCTGGCTCGGATTGGAAATATGAGATATATCCTCTGTCTGTCTATATCCTCTGGTGTTTCTCGCAGACTCGACTCGCAACGCTTATCGGAATGCACAGATTTGATTGGCTGAGCAGCGTCACATGAGACGCTTTATTTACATTTTCAATAAACAAACGGGCATCTTTGTAATGTTACATAGACCCCTAGGGCTGGGCAATAAAACAATAATGATCACAATATAATTTTCCTCAATAACTATATAACAATTGTTCAATATATCAATAAATATTTGCTTTAATTCATTTGAATCACAAACAAATTAGCACCTAATTTTTCTATTAAAATATTTATTTTGTTGAAAAATGAGGCCTGAAAAAAGATTTACTAACCATATTTGTTGAAAAAGATAATAGTTTTGAACGTTCTGCTTCAGACTTGTTTAGTGATCCACTGTTTGGCATCAAGTGTTTGTCACATTCTGACCATAAAGAAAAGTTTTACCACATAATTAACCATCAATTAGTGACCTCTGATGTACAGTGTATAATCCATTATTCCTGCAGAGAACAATCTAATCTATTGTTTCAGATGGAAGTCTTATTAATGAATGAAACAGAAGTTTACGTTGGGTGCTGCTGGTGTTTTAAAGGAGAGCGGGGTTCAGTTTGTCAGACGTCATTCGGCTGCATCATTCTCGACAGTATCTGTATTTAACGCTAACCAGTAATGCTGTTAGATTAGAGCTGCTGGCATTTAGGAAAAACAAGTTAACATTTAGAAAAGACGATGGTGACTGTGGACGTTTAGGACTCCAAACTAACTCTTTCACTGACTACCGAAAAATCCCAGAGCGCGAGCGCCAACATCGCACAGCGTCCGCAGACACTTTCTGTTAATTGGTCCTGCGAGTGCATGTATTGGTCCGGGTAATCGATCTATCGCTAGTCAGTGCAGAGCTCAGCACTCTTCTTGTTGACAATCATTAAAGATGGTTGTAAAGTTTTCTATTTTCATGTTGTATAACCACATGGTACCTTCCTTTTTCCAGGAAAAACAAAATAATAAATCAGTAATATCTCCTCAACGGTCACACAATCTTTCAAAAATACACAAGGCGAATGTCCAGGTTTTGGCCATATTTACTGTTTATATGTTCACTTTTATTGGGAGTTAAAACATTATTTCTCTCCACACAACCACGTTCCAAATAACATCAAGCTTCCAAAACATTGAAATATTGATAAAAACTGGCAATATTCCTGTGGCCTGTAAAGCACTCCCACGCTTTACAGGCCACAGCTTGAGAACAGAACGTCCTACAGGGCTGTAAATGGGCTCTTTCTCTTCGCACTGAAGAGATGAATCTATTGATATCCTGCATTGTCATGTAGCATCTACGGGTCGCCAGCAGAGGCACAATAAAGACCGCCTCCTCCAAAGCAAACTCTTCTTCTCTACTTCAATCTGATGACAGAAACAAAACTTATCGGCTCAGCCGATCTCAGCAAGATGGCGGCCCGCCAGACGGTCTCTGTGGATACAAACGGCCGCTGTTTTTGGACAGAAAACAGCTAGAACAGCGAAAATTGATCACCTGCCAGATTTTGGGCAGATCCGGTACCACATCGTTAAAACAATGAATCGCTTTCAGGGAAAAAATTGGCAAATTTTGACAACTGATAAAAATCTTGAATATGAAAGTTTGTTTTAGGAGTTTCACAAAATATTCTTAACTCAACGTCCACCTTCGCTTTTTATGGAGCTTTCAACATCATTTCGTCAGCAGATGGAGTTTTCTCAGTTGTCAAAACGTGACTTAAGTACCGAAGTTTAGTCTGTGATATTAGCTGGGAGGCTAATTTTGGCTAGCGACAAACTGGGTTAGAACAAAACGTACTCAGTGAAAAATGAGCAGCCGACTCCTGATGAGCTTTTTCAGCAGCGCTGGTTAAACGTACACAGAGCAGCAGATACGAGTTGCCTCCATCCTGATTGACAGGTCGCCATGGTAGCGACTTGTCAATCACAAGGTAGCCCCGCCCTAAAGCCTCCCCTGCTTCCTGGTCTCTGTTCCTCTAAATGGGACCATAATTTACTAAATGAACATCATGCTGTGTTGAAGAAGACTTGAAACTAGCGACTGAGACCAGAAACTCATCAGGAAAGTGTTTACTGAGGGAATAAATCAGCTGACAAGTAGAAACAGTTTCTTTCTGCAGCCGCTGGAGTCGCCCCCTGCTGGCTGCTGGAGAGAATGCAGGTTTAAGTTACATCTGCATTGGCTTCAGTCGTGGGAGCTGGAGGTTGCTGTTTGCAGCAAACTGCATACATTTGGGTTTTTTGCACGATTTAATACAAAAACACTGTTTAACGTGTGAATCAGTGCACGTTACAGGGGCTGTTTACCTCCGGACAGAGCCAGACTAGCTGTTTCCAGCCTTTCTGCTATGCTGTCCAGCTACTGTCTGTAGCTTAATATTTACGGCACACGAGAGTCTGAACATCTAACGCACTGCAAGAAAGTGAATAAGCGTCAAATGTTTCCTGTTCACAGGAAACTGAATCTCTTTGGACTGCTGGTCGGACATTTTAGTGATTTTATTCGAAAATTAATCAACCAAATAATTAACACAAACTGCTAATGTACTATAATATATACCTGAACCGGGCGTCGACGGGTACCTCAGTAAGTTTTGTGACTCACCTGCATGGCGATCAGTATGAAGTCGATCAGAGTGCCGATTCCACAGAAACCAACTGTACAGAACTTCAACAGTCCTGAGAGAGACAAGTAGTAACAAGAAAAGTAGGTTTATTTCATGGCTTACGGCAAAATTCCACCCAAAGAGTCAACCTCTGTAAACAATCACTGAATCTCAACTTCAGTTTCCATCATTATAAGGAAGTTTATTTATACAGAGCACCTTTCAAGAGCAGATGTCACAGTGCTTCACGGTAAAAGCTAAAAAGATGCAGAGCAAAAGACATCCAGCTAAACTAAACAAAAGTACATCTGAACTAAAGGTCCAATGGAAGAGTTTTTAACGTCTCCTTTTGACTTCAGGGTTGGAGGCTTGTAACGCACTGGGAAGACCTGTAGCGTCATAGTTCAACCTCACCAGTGGAAGCCCTGAAGCAGCTTTAATGAACGCTAAAAGCTGGTGTAATAAATAACAGAAACGTCTGTTACAACAGCCAGGAGCACAAACGAAGGGGTATCGATCTTCTTGACAAACGAGTTTCCATGCCAGTCAGTCAGAACTGATGAAGTCTGTCGGATGAGGGACGAAACGTCTTCCAGCATTTTCAACCAAGTCCTGTTGCTATTGACTTTAACTTTCCTTAGATGACGTTTCACAACATTAACCACTAGTTTGGCCTTTTATTGTGGCCAGCCTAAGTGTTTTTATTGTGGGGTTTTTATTGTGGCCAGCCTAAGGGTTTTTATTGTGGCCAGCCTCTTGATATGCCACACCTGTGAGGTGGATGGATTATCTTGGCAAAGGAGAAGTGCTCACTAACTTTTGACAGATTTGTGGACAACATTTGAGAGAAATAGGCCTTTTGTGTACATAGAGAAAGTCTCAGATCTTTGAGTTCAGCTCGTGATGAATGGGGGCAAAAACAAAAGGGCTGCGTTTATAATTTTTGTTCAGTGTATATGAAATTATACAGACTGGCAGGGGAGGAGAAAAAATCTAAACAAGTCCTGCTTTCAGGGTCAAATGGCCAAAACCTTAACCCGCTTGTACACAAGAAGCTGCAGGTTTCCACAAAAACGTCCCGGTCCGTTACCTGCTGCTCAGAGGATGAACCCTGCAGATGTCAGTGACCTTTCCCTCTAGCGCCACCATCAGGACAGACTTTACATGTCTAGTACCTCTTCCCGGGTTGTATCTGCGTTTGCTCTGTGAGGCTCTTTAACAAAAACCTGGAAAACGAATTTTTCAGAAAGACATCTGATTTGGCTCGGCTCAGCTTGGCTCGGTTTGGGGCCGACCTGTGCCAAATCAGGCCAGGTGTCTGCCAGTGCAGCTGCCCCCCCACCACCACACAGCCTCTCTCAGCCTTTGTATTGTTGCAGGTGTCTCATTAAAAGAAGCACGAGAGCGGACTCCGTCTGCTGATAATAACTCGTGTTGTGGTGGTAATCATAACTGTTGTTCTTCGGGTTGTTGCGGCCTTTTGTGTGCAGATCAGAGACAAACAAAGACTAATTTAATTTAATTTCAGGCTGGAAACCCACAGAAGTGTGGAAACAGGTGAAGGCCAACGCTGCTCATTTCATCTTTCTACAAAGTCTTTATAGATTTCTGTCAGTGGACAGTTTCACTTCTTCTAATTTGACTAAAGTCATGAGTTTGAAATTTACTTTATCGTTAAGATACTAAATGTTGCTCCTCCCTCTGCTGGTGTCTGTCCAGCTAACTAGACTTAGCTCTCCGTTCTGCAACTTCAGTGACAACAGATTCGTCATCTTAATGCCGGCTGTGGCTGAATCTCTCCCATGTTTCCTCTGACGCTAGCCACCGCGATGCTCACCGCTCTTTCACCGGTCAAGCTAGCAAGCAGCGAGGTCGGCGGGGCGTTCAGAGATCTAGAGTTTCCCAGAGAAGTAGAAACAGTAGATGTGTTTCCAGCCACCTTTCACAGTTTTCCTTTTCTACTTTTTGTGCAGGAAAACCATATTAAACTTTATTTGTAACCCATTAGAATTATTGGCTTACTTTATATGTTAACCTGTTTTTATTTTCTATTCAACTATTTTTTTAAATTCTGTTTTTTATATATATCTACGTTGCTTTTAGGGCTGTCCCGACTAACGATTCACATAGTCGAATCAGAATTGTCCTGCCTCGACTGATAGACGGCTAAACTGAGGCTTTTTGAAGATCTCTCTCGCTCTCTCTCTCTGCTTTATTGGCATGAATGTATTGCCAAAGCTACAAATAACAATTAATTTTATTAAATAAGCAAATAAAAAAATTAAAAATTTAAATATAAAAATTCTGTAAAAATAAATATTAAAATAAAAGTAAATAAAACCGTAAACTTGTAATTAATAGACACAAAAAATTCATTAAAAAAAATTTCATACAAAACAATTAATAAAATATCAGACAACAATCAAAATAATAATCCCTCTCACCAGCCTTGTGCAGATAAAACCTTTTACGACTTAAAGGAGCATTTGGGGTCCTCAGCCGCTTTCACGCTGCCTTATTTTCCCGGAGTCTTGCGCCAATTTGCAACGCAACAAAATAAACTATAGAGTATAATTTTAAACGATATATATCGTCACATCGCACAGCCCTAGTATCGGACATATAGGCGCCAGTTCCGTATTGTCACCGGGTTTCGGTTCCCAGCTCTGCACATGGTTGCAGGATTATGCCACAAATGTTTGTTCAGTAACAATGAGTGAATGCGGCGTGTTGGCGGATATTCTGTCCCCTTTTATTTTGGGTTCTCTGTATGAAAGCGGCTTGTGTCAGCCGTGGAGGGGGACGCCACCTGCTTGTCCCACCTCAGATCCGCCTCTTTGGCGTGTGTGTGTGTGTGCGTACCTAGCGCAGGATATCCCAGGTAGAAGCGGTCTGCTCCCAGCCAGCCCAGAAACAGAGATAAAGCCACAGCTACTTTATAGGAATAACCACTCCTGAGAGGAAATACACAGTCATTATTTTACCAGAGTAATCAAAGCGTCCATCACAAGTATCAAAATCAGACCGTTGCAACACGTCTGCACAGCACAAATTCAGAATAATGCACATTTAAATATCTGCGACGTTGTTCTTCTTTTTATTATTCTTGTATAACTTGCATTGTCTAATCCATATTTCTATATTTATTTATGTCAACTGTATGTTTGTCCACGTGTAGCACCTTTATCACCAAAGCTAATTCCTTGTATGTGTAAAACACTACTTGTTAAATAAAGCTAATTCTGATTCAAAATAAATCAGTTACCATAACAGATCATGTTATTATGTTAAAAAACGCAGTTAAAGTGCTACATAATACAATGAAGTCACGAAAATCTGATAATTCAGCCCCCCTTGCTGAGCTGATGGGTGGGTGGTTGGGTGGGGGTGTGTGTGTGTGTGTGTGTGTGCACTCACACATTCCTGCAGGGGATGGTTTTGTTGAAGCCCACCTCCTCCCCGCTGAACCTGAACTCTGTCCCGTTAGAGAGTCGACAGCTGATGTTCGGAGCTGGGAGGCACTCCACTGAGAAAACACACACACTTTATCTTACTTTTTAAATCTTATGTCTTCTGTTTACTTTATATTTTGTCTTCATGCTTTTTATCCTTATGAATAAACTCGCTTCGCTAACTTCAGTTTTCAAACCAGGGAGGTCAAAGGTCATGAGATGCTATCACCAGGGCGTCACTAACCATCAGTAGTGAACTCGACCGTGTGTCGGTCAGTTATTTCTTCAAGCCACAGACGAACAGCGATGGATGAAGTGTTTAGAGCCTTTACTTAAGTAAAAGTACAAATACCACACTGTACAAATACTCTGTTACAAGTTCTTCATTGAAAATTAAAATTAAAAGTATAATCAGGAAAATGTACTTCAAGTATTAAGTGCTCAAAGCAGAAAAATGTGACCGTTAAACTTATTATTATTATTATTCCTCATGCATTAATGTAAAAGCAGGATTTTACTGCTGTAGTTGTTGAGCTCATAATTATTTTCCTTACAAATTCATCTATTGATTATTTTCTCCACTGAAAACAGTGCAAAATGGCCCAAAGACGCAGCTTCACAAGGCTTCGTTCCGTCTGACTGACAGTACAAACCTCAACGTTATTGACAAACATCCGTTATTACTACAGTTCAGAAGAAAAGCTGCAAACCTTCACATTTGTCAAGTTGGAACAACAAAATGTTTTTGCCTGCATTTAATTTTCTGTCACTCAACTAATCATTTAAGCTGGACTTCTATAAACCGCTGGAGTTTAATTTAACACAACACTCGTGTGTTAAAGTGGTGGGAGGGGCTCAGATTCAGGACACGATGACGCACTTGTGTCAAGAGGACCTGAAGATGCTCAAAAACAAGATGAGAAGATTTTTAACAAGACGAAATATGAAATGTTGAAATAAGAGCGGGGGGTCAGGGGGTCCTTCCCCCAGAAGATTTTGAGCATTAAGCACTTAATTTCCTGCCTTCTGGAGACATTTTCTGCTCCAATTTACGGTGCAAATGTCTTCATTTATAAAAAGACAAACACAAAATTCACCTGGCAAGTGACAATTCATTAACAGAAAAATATAACAGAATATAAAGCAGTAATCAGCAGCCTGTTACTTTTTTGGACAATGCACATTTGTTTCTTCTGTATTTAAATTGCTTTGCATGTTTTCTTATTGTGCAAATAAACTCTTCTCAAAGCATTTTCATTTGTTAGTTGACATTTCTTGGTGCGAGCTGTCAAATCATTTTTCACAAATGCTTTCAGAATGTGGTGGGGGACAAAATAAGCCATTTCAGAACGTGGTGGGGGACGTGTCCCCAGTGTCCCCAGTTTAAATGACAAAACATCATATTTTATAAACTCTTCATGTGTTTTGTGTGTAAAAATCTGTCAGATAAATGTAGTTCAGTGAAAAGAACAATATCTCCCTCTGAGGTGGAGGAGAAGGAGGAAGTGGCATGAAAAGAAAGTACTCAAGTGAAGTACAAACTTGTACCGTACTTGAGTAAATGTCCGGCCCTGCAGACGAATGCGAGAGCGGCTGCAGATGAAACATCAGAATCGTTCCAGCTGTCAGAAAGACGTCACACTCACCCCACGCCGTCGTGTCCCTGCAGTTCTCCGGCTCCTGAGTGGCGTCGTCTATCTTCGGATCTTTACAGAGATACGTGAGGAGAGTGAAGGAGTCCAAACCAGCTGACTCAACATCGATACAACAGAAAGAACTAACAGGAGCTTCAGTTCAGACACGCATCACCTCTGTCAGTGTTTCCACTTGCTGTTTATGTCAGAGGTCGCACGACTCCTGGTGACAGCTTTGTGAAGATGTGCTACTTTTCCTTTTAATTATTTGAATGTATTTTTAATAATTATGAGTCCAGCATTGTTCTGTCGGGCTCTAGGTTGTGACGGCATTTCTCACTTTCTTCAGAATTTTTACAGTCGATTAATGGAGCAAATAATCAGCAAATTAATCCATAATGAAAGTAATTCAGTGCACTATGATACGAAATAGTTCAACCTCGACAAAAGTAAAATCCTGCTTTTAAATTAATGCATTTTAACGATAAAGCCTATTTGTTTACTTTTAACACTTTAAGTACATTTTTTCTGATTATACTTTTACTTAAGTAATATTTTCAATGCAGTACTTTTACTTGTAACAGTATTTTTACAGTGAGGTATAAGTACGTTTACTTAAGTAAAGGACCTGAATCCTTCCACTGAAAACAATTTTTCCTAAACAAAATAACTTTCTTGTCATAAAACTTAAGGGCTAATTCGTTCATTATTCAAATGAGTTTAATCAACCGTTTATTGAACCTTTTGTTTTTATTGTTGTTGAGGAACATTTTAACATTTTATTATTATTATTTACTGTTGCTTTATTGCCCAGCCCTACATGTCTGCTGCAGGACCCCCCTCTAAATTAGATGGCACATCTCAAGGGGCTGTCCTTTAATAAATTAAATGTACTACAGCACTAAGTTTTAGATAAATAAAGAATAATTAAAAACCCTGTTATGAAAACAGGACGGTTCAAAATGTGCTGTGTTGTAAGTTACAATATTTATAAATGTACAAGGTGGTTTTAATTGAAGCAGTTTAGCGTACAGCCTCTTTACAGGAGCTGAACATCCCACAGTTAAATAATACAAACGTTGTACGATATAATAAATCGCTCTGTTGATATTTATGTTTGTAAGTTATTGCTAAGCTAGCTGCGGCTAACGTTGGGCTTCCGGTAAGTAACCTCCCGTTAGATCTGCGCTGCGCCGGTAAACAAACGTTAAAGGATATTGTCCGAGTCTCAGGTTCTCGCAGCTTTCAGCCTCCTCCGCCAGAACCACCTTCAAATGAGAGTAAACGCAGTAAAACAGGAGGCTCCAAATCCCGGAGCGTAAACAAACCAGCCGTCTCCGGGAGGACGCCATGTTTCACTCTGTCACGTGACGGGGAGACGCCTTCAGGAGCATCCGGAATTTAAAATACCGTCACATAATAACTACATAAGACGCCGGAACAGTGATTTGATTTACTTTTTTTTTTTACTCCTGTCACTCACTTCATATGTTGTTAATTGATAAATATAATCTGTTAAACTGTCTAATTTTGAAAGAGTTTTTTTGCACAACACAATTTGTTATATTTTTATGGCTAACAACACAATTTTATTTGAATTATTTACTGCTTAATTTATGTAATTAGATTACAAAGATTTTATATATATTACATATACATGCATTGATATATGTAAACATTAGGGCTGCGACTAACGATTTGCTTGTTAATATCCCGTAATCGTGTCCCAATGTTGCTTTTACGTTTCATGTAAAGCACTTTAAATTGCCTTGTTGTTGAAATGTGCTTTACAAATAAACTTGCTTAATATCCTGTATAATTTTTGCATTCTTTTTTTCCATTATTGTTATGGTATTATTGTTTTGTTTTGTTGTGCAATTTTGATCTGTGCTTTATCTTTTTTTTTTTTTTTTTTTTTTTTATTGTTGTGATTTTGTATTATTGTATGAGTAAGCACATCGTGACCAGTGTACAATCCTGAGTCAAATTCCTCATATGTGTACACATAGCTGGCAATAAAGCTGATTCTGATTCTATATTTATGTTCTAAAGCACCAATATATACCAAGGCAAATTCCTCGTATGTGAAAATGTACCTGGCAATAAACCTCATTCTGATTCCAATTCTGATTCATTTTTGATCTATAGCGTGTCAGAAAATTGTCAAACATGTCCTAAAAATGTCTCCTTTTGTCCATAACCCAAAGATATTCAGTTTATCGTCATAGAGGAGCAACAAAACCAAAAATATTTATATTTAAGAAGCTGGAATCTGAGTTATTTTTTTGAAATGACTCAAACAGATATAATCAACTATCAAAATAGTAAATTTCATAGTTGACTAATTGATTAATCATTGCAGCTCTGGCAAACATGTAAATTATTTCACATATTATTATTATTATTCTGCAGCTTGTATATTTTGTCAATTCATATTTTAGTTTTTTCCATATTTTATGGATTTTGTTTATTGTTGTTACGCACCTTGTCGCCAAAACAATTATTTGTAAAAACTACTTGGTAATAAAGCTGTTTCTGCTTCTGATTATGTGTGCACGTGGATAGATAGACAACTAGATATTTCTTTTTCCTTAATCTGTCTTTTAGTCACTATAATATATGCATTTATAGCATATCTAGAATGACAACATGTACCAAAAAAACCCCATCAAACTGTCTTCAGGAAGAGGGAGAAGGTGAGAAAGTTGCACACAGTGTTAAGTCAACTCAAAGATTAAAGTTCATAAAGTTGATAAAACTTAACCATCAGCGTTCTAGATTTCTAAAACAAATCTTATTACCAAAAGGAATGAAGAAACATTGGTTAAATTAATTCTAACTATATAGAGACATAAGTAAATGGGGCTGAAATTATTGACGGCTCTACTTTCCCACGTTAATTCAGACGTCTTGAAACCATAAACACGCACTGGGAGTCGATATCTCCGATAGTACGCGAACGCAGCATTAAAGCGACACTGGTGCCAAACTGGATCCAGTTCATGTGAGTTTCACACCAGTTCAGAAACCTTTTTTAAACCCGTCTGTTCTCTATTAATTCACCTTTTCTCTGGCTGCTACATCCTCCGACTGTTCCCGCGCGAAAAGTTAGGAAGCGACAGTTTTATCAGACGCCGTTTAACAAGCTAACTAGCATGCTAGCGGCTAGCCGACTGTTAGCGAGCGGCTGTGTTGCAGTTTCTGGAGTTTGGGAGCTGATGGAGGAAGAAAAGTTTGTTTTGTAAGGTTGTTTTAGCTCCTTTAACGCCCGTGAAGACTCGAAGAAGTTCGGTTTAATGTTGTCACTGAATGAATAATGTGTGTTTTCAGACGTCGCAGCTGGTTTGAGGTTGTTTTTATTTTAAGTTTGATGCACCTGTTGCGAGTTGAACCTGCTGATTGAAGTTCGCTCCCGACAACAGGTTTAACTGTTTAAAGATACACTTTCAGACTCTTTAACAGTATTAATGGCGAGCAGGTGTGTGTGTTTCTTGATTATTAGTTTCACCCCCTCCCGTCTGAGCTGTTGAGTTTCACTTCCTGTTTTTTCAGGGACAGGTGAGCTACCCGCGCGCACAATCACAGCTTTTAAAGCGTAAACGTGAGCTTTTCAGTTCGGTTTCTGTCTCCTTATTTGATGTAAAGGTTTGGGAATGTTTGTGCTGTTTGGTTTTCTGCCTGTATGTGCTGATAAAGCGGGTCACGCCGAGCTAACCGTCTGATAACCACACCTGTGGTGCAGACAGAGACACCTGAACGCAGCACAGAGGCCATGCCTGCTGTGTTCACGTGTGGATGTTAAACCGGGTTTTCAGATGTCTGTAGAGCTCAGCAGGTGTGAAGCTGTCTCTTACATCTGTTTGATTTCACAAACAGAGACAACAACAGGTTGTTGTTGTTTTTATTTACCAAACAGATCATTAAGGTTGCTGGTTGGCAGGTAAATAAAATACAGGTAGTTAGGGCTGGGCAATAAAACAATAATAATTATCGCAATATAATTTTTCTCAATATAATAAATGTTCAGTATATCGTCAATAAATATTTGCTTTAATTCATTTGAATCACAAACAAATTGGCACCTAATTTTTCTATTAAAATATTGATTTTGTTGAAAAAAAGAGGCCTGAAAAAAGATGAACTAGTCATATTTGTTGAAAAAGATAATAGTTTTGAACGTTCTGACTCAGATTTGTGGAGTGATCCACTGTTTGGCGTCAAGTGTTTGTCACATTCTGACCATAAAGAAAAGTTTAACCACATAATAAACCATCTGCTTTCTTCAATTTTCACTCAGGAGCAAAAATCTTGAAGGAAATAATGATTTGACATTTATCGTGATAATTATCGATATCGAATGAGTGTTGAAACAAATAACTAAGTCTGTTTCCAGCTTTACACGTGAGGTTTTGGTGCTTTTTCTTTGCTTTATTGCACATTAAACTGAATATAATATGGCTTTTGGGCCGTTGGTCTGACAAAACAAAACATTTGAAGACGTCACTGTGGAATTATTTAAATAAAATGGCAAGAAAATAGTTAATCCTCATTTGCATATTTTTATAAAACGTATTACATGCAAACCCAAAACATGTATTTTAAAATATTTAGTTGATCGACCAGCTGTGGTGAGGAGAGCAGCTGAAGCTGCAACAATAAGTCGATTCACTGATTAATTGTCAGCTAGTAAATTAATTGATTAATCACTAGCGAGTCCTTGAGCAGCTCAGGTTGTGGACAAAAGACGACATTAGAGGACATCTCTTTGGGATTTATATTTTTTTTACAGTTTTCTGGACCCAAAAACTAATTGAGAAAATAATCGACAGAGCAATCAATAATGAAAATACTTGTTAGTCACAGCGAAACAGCTTTATTGCCTAAGTGTGTGTAAACCAGATTCATAAGTTACAGCCCAAAGTATATTTTAAAATTATTGTATATTACATCACCCGTAAAACAAATCAGACTCTGGTTTTTAAGTTCCTCTCATTGTGACACATTTCCAGGAAGACGTTCAGCTAACAGGGACAACAAAGCTGCTTGGTAAACAAAGATAAAACTATTTTATACAAGAAGGTGAGAAATATGTGTGTATAGTAAAAAAAACAAAACAGCAATGAATAAAAACGTATGCGAGTGTTTTCTGTAGATGTCCGGTATCTGCATGAGTACGTGTTTAAACCGCATGCAGGATTTATGTTTGACAATGAAGGATGATCTGTGCATGTTAATATGTACAGTGTGTATTTAAACTGTAAATATGTGATTTGTAATTTGTTGGTAAGTGAATGTTTGACAGATTTTTTATATATATATATATACTGATACACACACACACGGCAAACTAGAAGTACTAGATTTTGTAAATGGAGTCTGGTGTGATGTTGAGCAGCAGGTGTTTGGCTGCTGTCGCCCTGCCGAGATCAGAATATATGAAATGTAAATGAGATCAGCTCGCTAACGATCCGACTGGGCAGATGTTTGAATGTTTAACCCCTGTGCAGTCCTTCCTCACCGTCTGACGAGCTGCGTTATTACACGGATAAATCGTGCTTTCAGTCAGTCGTTCTCTTTTTAAAGCTGCTCTACTAGTCAACTGTAAGATTGCAGTTTATTTCGAGCTCGTTTGAAAGGTTCATCAGCACTCGGCTCTGTCGGCGCTAAAACTCAATAGCACCTTACTGTCTGTGTTTCTGTGCTGTCACCTGTTCGTCCACCTGGATGTCTTATGTTGCACCGAAGTGATGTTATACATGTTTTTTATTAACCTTAATATCAGAGTTTCATAGTTTTAACCAAATAATGTTCTGTCTGTTCAGATCAGTGATCGAGAACGTCAGACGGAGAGCGAGGGACGACGATGTTTGAAAATGTCCCGGCAGGTAAATCCTCTCGGCTGTTCATTCAACATTTGCAGATATTATCAGGTTCAGACTGACGACTCTACGTCCTGTGCTCGTCCTCAGTGTCCACAGCGGAGCGTCAGCAGGTTCTGGGAGCTCTGGAGCGTCTGCAGGCCAAACTGGCCCAGAGGGAGGAGTGGACCCACAGTGAGACGATGGGAAACCTGAGGGAGACTCTGCAGAATCCGCTGTTCAACCACATCCTGACCCTGCAGCACTCCATCAAACAGCTGCGGCACCAGGTGAGACACAAAGAAAGACCGCGCTGCTAGTGAGTCTTCTACTGAATTTAAAATATTTACCTCTCTTTACATCCCGACAGCAATCAATAAATCAAATTAGACTGATGTCGCAGGACTGAAATAAACACTAGTTTCTCCAACTTTACAACAAGTTACAAACTCCTGCATTCATTCTATCTTACTTAAAGGTCCAGTGTGTGATATTTAGGAGGACTTACTGACAGAAATGCAATACAATATCAATAACCATGTTTACAAGGTTGTTTATTAGTCATTATACAGCACAAGGCTGCATAACAAACGAAATTTGTAGTTTCTTCATGCAGCACACACAACATAATAAGTGTAGGCCTGTATTAAAATATTGTATCATATAAATTAAATTATAAAACGGGTAGCTCAAATCAAGCAATCTGATTGGTTCATAGTAGTGATATAATGAGCGTATACAACGGGCATGATGTCGAATTCCTTCACACAGATCCAAATCACTACGCGACAAACAGGGTTCGAGTTATAATCTGAGCTTTGTGGCGGTCTCACGCCGCGTTTACACCTGGTATTAAAATGCAATCTGATGCAGATCAGATTTTACTGGCGGAGATGGATAAATAAATAAATAATAAGAGAGAGAAATCATTGCTTATTACGTGATTCCCTCTCTCTCACACGAAAACACACAAACACTGGGACTACTTTTTGTATTCATAAAGAAATGTTGATGAAATAAAGTCAAATTGTAGCGCGTCTGTTAGCCTACTTTCTTTCTGCCATGGTAACCGTTTTATAAAACCTATAGCTCACTTCAGGCTGTTGGTGAACAACGCCCCTTAACTGTGCACCACGGCCTGTCGTGAGCTATTCGTAGTTTTCAGTCACGTGACATGCGCGGTGACCTGGAGGGCAAAACAACGGACCAACATAGCGGCTCACAGCGCGACTCCCCCGTAGAGACGCCGCAAAAGCAGTCAGATTTTATTTAGATCACCTTTCAACTCAAGAAAAAGAAAGATATGAACACAAACTGCACGTGCTCGGCACTTCCGATACATATAACGTCACAGCATCCACTGCCGCATTTCTACCGTTACAAACCGCCAGGTCCCTGCCTGCCGCTCGACTGCGGTAATGTTTACTTTAACCTTCTGGGGAATCCCTCACCTAACGCAGCCCAGGCTCGTCTCCTCGATTAGTAAATCCCAAAGCACAACAACCATCCAGCATATTTGTTGGCAGGCAGCGGAAATTAACGTCTTTTTGCCCTCCAAGGGGGCGTTTTCATTGGAATGTGACGTCACGTGAAATCTATGAATTGCTTAAACAATATATGCAGTTATTTATATACATACATACACATATTCACCCAGAATATTCCACAGTGCATTTTTTTTTATTTGCATCTGGGGTGAATGTAAAGAGCAGCAACCAGATGATGATATGAAAGTTTCATCTTCACAATAAGCAGTCTGAACAGAGTCCGTCTTCACTGTGTTTGAGCACCGAGTACCATCGATGTAAAACCCAGAGTCCACCTCGTCTCATCTCGCCGGAGTCTTGCGCTGACAGCTCGGAACACGGACCGCCTGCAGAGTGCTTGACCCGGGGCAGGTCTCTGTAACGATGTGGACTCTGAATTCCGTTTTCTGGTCAAAATGAGTCCCGTTTTGTCCAGACCGGCTCTATAGGAGCAGAATTAAGTCCAAGCTGGGCCAGCATGGCTCCTCTCCTGGCTCTCTTTCCTCTCCTCTGAGCGATCGGTCACCTGGTCTGGTTGTTTGGGCCGGGTGGGTCGTGGTCTGGCCCCGTCTTCATCTTCCAATGACTGTATTTATGTCAGTGCAGTTCAGTGGTGTACAAAGACCTCCCATAATGAACCTTTGTTTTTATTACCTTTTAGAATGAGAGATTTCTATCTATATACATCACCATGTTGCACTACCATGTTTCTACAGTAGCCCAAACGGACAAACTGCTCTACAGAGCGCGTCTCATCGCTACGTTAAATACGTACAAAGACGAAGTAGAAATGTTATTAGTTGTCGTCTGAAAAGTAAGAAAAGAAGATAAATTTGGACAAATGGACGACCACACGTGTTGTTTAGCTCAGAGCCGACGGAGCGTGTCGGCCGCTGTAGCGTCTCCTGCACGCTTACAAAGGGAGAGCGGTGACTGATGGTGCATTCATGCGGTGTCGGAATAATCAGAATCTTTTTTTTCTTCCTTAAATCATTATTGCACAAAGAGAAATAAAGTGTACATGGGACATAAAGAAGTATACAGTACTTTGATTCGTGCAAAATCACGTGTTGCATATTCATATTTAGCAAACATATAATGTGTAATCTGGTTCTAACGGTTAGTCTGCTGTCCATGTAGAGTGAACTGGATGTCTGCATGTTGTTTATAAGCTCTGATAATGTTCATCCAACACATCTCTGTAGCAGCGTCCATGTTGATTCCACAATAAGAGCACATGAACACGCACTGAAGTCGGAAGAACGACTTCACAACTCGGGAAATGGGACCGTTAGAGGAGCACGTGAATGCACCGTGAGCCGCTGGTTGCAATTCACCACCCTCACCACTAGATGTCGCTAAAACTTACACACTGAACCTTTTTAAGCGTTTAAAACCCTGTGAAAAAAATAATTTTACCCACCAGATGTTGTTGTAGGATACAGATAATCAAGGATTTTAATAAAGGTTTTAAAAGTTTTTAGGTAACTGTAATATTTCAACAGCAGAATTTCCACATTTGCGCTCAAACTGTCAGAACAAATATACAGAACATCTGAGGGTCCATTTGCAGTGTGGATTGCTTACAAAGCACTAAAACAGTAAATATCAATACGTTATCAGTCAGTGTGAACGCACTTATGGACTCGTGAGTGTCAGGACGCAAATTGAGACGCAGCATTAATCTTTTCAGTGAGATGTTGTTACATGACATCAGCAGGTGTTTGTCCTCCGCTGCTCAGACAGTGTTATCTTTATTAGTGTATAACCGGCTTTTTCCACAATCATGAGTTGCAGCAGCTCTGCAGACCGATGAACGCTTCCCATCTGATCTGACATGTGTGACTCCGCCCAGGTGTCGACAGCCTATTGGGTACCGGTACGCCGCCGCCTCCTGTCCAACACTGTGACCTGTCAGCGGGGCTGAGCGGGGACATTGAATTGAATCCCCTCTGCATCGCCATCTGTATTCAGCTCCAGCCCGTTGTGACGCGGAGCCTTTACAATAAACAATCTGCAGGCCAAATTAAGATAATGGCAATAACTGACGCTGGGCTTCATATTCTAAGTGCTGCGAAGGTCAGAGCTGAGTCTATGAATGCGTCGGTGGGAGCCGGTGGAGGGTATATGAAGCAGGGACTCTCTCTTTCTTTATTTTCCCTCCCTCCCCCGGCTCTCTGCGGATCTATCAAGCTTTAATATCTAGTGTCTTGCTTTGAGTAACGGCCTTGTCGAGGCGGTATTGATGAAATGGCTCGGGATCCTGCTCCGTCAGCCTGGCCTAAATAAGCCGCAGACTGATAAGTTTCCACAATGTGAGTGTAAAGGTCATTAATACATTACCTGTTCAGAGAGAGAGCCTGCAGAGGAATCTATTGATTTCTTTTTCTTCTCTCTCTCCTCCTCACTTACCCCCCGGCCTCCCTGCCTCATTTTTTTTTTTTTTTTTTTCCCTCCATGTCTTTCTTTATTGTCGACAACGTCCTTGCATATAACACCTCTCTCCCTCTCTGTCTGTCATTTCTTTCAGTTTCACTTCTATGTGCTTTACTGGCATGAATGTTTCTGTTAGACCATGTTGCCAAAGCAGTTTTCAAAGCAAAATCACAAAGTTTACATTTTGAACATAACGAGAATTAAAGCAACCCCGACTGTTCAGTTTAGCAGTTACAAGTTACAACAACCAATAGAACAAATACAGATAGAAAGTAAACTACCAACAATAATGAACCCGATTTAACCTGCCGTGCAGCGAACACTGAGTGCAACAGCCCGCCAAGTCCCTCAGGTATGTGACAGGGACACTTACTTGGCTGCGAGGTTTACCGTCTGTCCTTCTGCTAGGATAATTAATAATTTATTGTTATCTTGAAGAAAGGTGAAGTCTAGTTTGGTCTCTCTCTCTTTATCAGTAGTCGTGTTTCCATCAACGTTTTCTTGGTCACATTTTGAAGTATCGCGTTAGAAAAGGTTGAAATGAAAAATCTTGTCCCAAACCGAATATAATGAGAATTTTTTTTTTTTCTTTTGTTGCCTTTTTCCCCACTGCATAAATTAAATAGTCAAAATGTGCTTTTTTTCCCTCAGTCTTTCCCACAGGATGTGGAGAGACTATGGGGGGGGGGGGAGTCCGGGGCCCGAGAGGGTCCGGTAAAGTAAATTACATGAGTCCGTTTACTTTTAAAGGTTGTTTTTAACATGTTTTATACTTTCTGTGAATATAATAAGTTAATCTTATTTCCATCCTGTACAGACGCCTTATTTTGAAAACCGGACGTTGTCACATGTGTTTCCTCCTCGTGCTAAATCCATCCAGTCCGACCCGGTTTGATAAATAATGTTGTAACATGAAGACTTCACAGCCTCTCTTCATACTAAAGAGACAAACTGACAGGATAAAGTCTCTAACCTGCCTGTCAGCTCGCTCTGGGCCGGTTCACTTACCGTAAAGGCTTGAATACATGTGCACTCCAAATGTCGGTGCGGCTAGCCTTCTTACAGACGAGTGACAGAAACACTCAAAGCGGCTCTTTTCTAAGAAGTCAGCCTCATATCTCCCTGTTCTGAATGCTGTTTTAAACCATTTTTTCTATTAACGGCTCGGTATGATGTCATTCCGAGGCTGGATTTCCATATATGGTCATTTGCTCCAGGCAGAGCATGCTGGCCACGCCCACAAAGGAACATGCAGCCCTATCCCTGCGGCAGCCTGGTAAATACATAAGACAATGGCCAATCAGAAGACAGTGGGCTTTGGAGCGGGGGCTTAAAGAGACAGGAGCATCTACAGCTTGTTTCAGACAGAGGCTGAAATGAAGGCCTACATGAAGAGTCAGTATAAGATAAAAAATAATTTTTTTTGAACTTTGAATCATGCAAAGCTGCCATACAGGAGTCACAGAACTACAATGTAGGACTGGAAATGCAGTATAACGGGTCTCCTTTAAAATGCAACATAATTTTTCCGTAATTTGACTTATTATTATTTTTTTTGCTATTTTTGGCCGATTAATTTCTGTGGCCGAACATTTTGTGCTCCAGTTGTACTGAACGTTGTGTGTTTGACAGTGCTGGGTATGAATAACGTGTTTGTTTCTCTACGACGGCCGATGCCTTTAGTTTCAGTACCAAATGTGTATGTATGTTTTCTCAGTACCTCACACAAAAGAGAAGTTATCAAATGTAAAAGAAACCATCTGACTTTGGAAAAGAATGAGTGAAGAACACCGTTGATTTCAACTAAATCTACAAAACATGTTTCACATCGTATCTGACAAACCTCTCCTCCCTCCCTCCTCCTCCTCTGTCTGTAGCTGAACAATATGCCGCCTGACACCTGCAGCGAGTTCAGTTTCTCCAAAAAGGGTCAGCTGATCATGAGCGCTGTTAATTCAGCCAGCAGCTCCGCCCCGCCCTCCCTGTCCTCCTCCTCCATCCTGACCAATGGCTTGTCTCCACCCATCCATCAGACTCCGCCCTCATCTGACCTCCTGCCGAAATGGATCCTCGCCGCTGCCAAGGTGGGTGGAGCTGCGAGACACACTCAAACACACCTGCAGAGTCCACGGCATGCATATAAACCTGAATGTGTTTGTGTGTGTGCAGGGCCGTCACACAGAGCTGGTTCGCCTGACTCGGCCTCTGTCTGGAGGTCTGGGCTTCAGCGTGGTCGGCCTGAACCCTGAAGGAACCAGCAGTCAGGGCGTCTTCGTTAAACACATCCAGCCTGGAGGCGTCGCGCACAGGTTCAGCTAAAGCTTTGTTTGCTACAGTCAGAATGAGCAGCAGGTCATGAAGAAGCAGCTCCTACGACTGAAATGCAGTTTAACATGGAGATAAAAGATATTAAGTTCCTTTCACACATTGAAGATCATGTTTGCTTTTATTTCCGACAAAATTAGATTTTATTAGATGTTTAAAGTCATTTTTTTATAATTCAAATCACAGCTCATTGTGAAAATTGTACTCAAATAGTGTTTTGGATATAAAAATAAGAGTGTAGGTAATAAAACATTTATTGTAAGTGATCTAAAACAACCTCCCCTCAGACAAAGCTTGGGAAAAGGTGCCCCCCTCAGTTTACTTCTTTAGTTTGCTCAGTTTCTGGATGCCTTTGGGAACCATGATTATGTTATTTGATCTCATAGACACTCAACAGTTGAGGCAGTATAGCATAATATTGCCGTTTGACATAATTTCAGACTGCACCAAATAAATTCAAAAACGTCAGTCCTAAGGCTTTTATTACTTTCTGACTCTGGTAACGTTAGAAAAACTCTCTCATTAACCAGGTCACACACGTAGGCTATTCTGTGTGATCACCATTTGAAAACTAATACAATAACTAATCACTGTGTGATCACACTTCTGGGCTAAAACATATATAACTATTTTGACCCTTTTAATCAAGTCAAAAAGAAATCGAAAAGGTAAACAAACTTGATAATCAGCAAAACTGGAATACAGTTTACATTGTGCTGTTTTAGCATTTAACAGCTACTGTGTGTTATGGCCAGCCGTTTTAACATTTATTCCTTTAAACTTACTACTAGCTATTTAAAAGTTTTCATTAGGTACTAGTAACTAATACCATTTTACAAGTAACTACTATTTAAATGCTAGTACATATTCTAATAGTCACTAGTAACTTTTCCAAAAGATACTCGTAACATTTTTATTCTTACTAGTGCATTTTGGGGGTTACTAGTCATTTATCAATAACTTGTTATTGACGGTTGAATTCTTACTAGTAAAATGGAAAAGTTACTAAAACAAGAGCACTAGTAGCTAAAGAATATATACTAGTAAAATGGAAATAATTACTATTTACTAAAACAAGAGCACTAGTAGCTAAAGAATATATACTAGTAAAATGGAAATAATTACTATTTACTAAAACAAGAGCACTAGTAGCTAAAGAATATATACTATTAAAATGGAAATGATTAATATTTACTAATGAAATGGTGTCTGAACTGCAGAGCCCCATAGATTTCAATGGTAAAAATGTGCAATTAGTTAAAAGTAAATAAAAAAACAAAACAAACACTAGTAACTAGGGGTGAGAAACACCAAAGGCCCCATGATACAAATTTTATACGATATAATATTGCAATTTATTATTAACTTCAAATTGTGTCCCCAAAGAAAAGCTCTATTTCTATTGGACTGAAAAGCAACTGATTTTATTATCGTAGTTCTCATGTACAATTTATATAATAAAAGATTGATACTTGACCCCCGTGTATCAATACAATATTGCCATGGAAAATATTATGAAGTGAATTACTAAAAGCTAACCAGCTAGCTGTGTAACCGTGGAGATTTCTGCGGGAGAGTTTGGTTTTTATCGTGTTACTGGAAAGTCCTGACTGGTGTTGTGGCTGCAGGAACGGGTGTCTCCAGGAGAGGGACCAGATCCTGGTGATAAACGGCAGTCCTCTGGAGGCGGGGATCAGCCAGCAGCAGGCGCTGACCCTCCTGCAGCAGCCCGGAGAGACGGTGGAGCTGGTGGTCGCCAGGGACCGCCCACTCAACGCATCATCACAACCTGCCGCCGCCATCAACACGGTAAGACGATCAACTATTGCTCGTTTTATTTGTGACTCTTAAAGCGTCACAAATTGAAATCTGAAAAAGAACAAATATCTTTCTGCAAACCATCTCCAGGACATTTGTAATTTTAAAAATACTTCTACAAGCACCTCTAACCCCTAATAATTAGCCCCAAAACCACAAACTTGGTCTTTACATATTTGTTTGTGTACAGATTAAACAAGAAACATGTTAATCAGCATTAGACGTGCTGGGAGGTGGATTTGAACAGAGCCAGGTTAGCTGTTTCCCCTGCATCCAGTCTTTATGCTAAACCAGGCTAACCACCTCCTGCAGCACAACATATTTATTATTTAAATCTCCCAACACTCCGACGGGATTGGTCAGGATGCACTGACAGCAGCCTCTCTGATCAGGAAAGGAAATTGTAAAAGAAAACTTACATAGAATTACATTTATGCATGATTCATGATCCATATTGTCACTATTTTAGAGACCCCCCCCCCCCCAAAATTTCAGTGATAATTTTTTCAGGGGAGCTCCCGTCTTGTTAAGAGGAGCCCAGTTTGCACCCTGCCTACAACTTCAACCATCAAATTCCAGCAACAGGAAATAACGTTTATCTTGTACTTTTTTTTTTCTGGTGTCACAATGTTTCTCTGTGTTGGTGATTTATTAAAAAAACAAAACACTTTATTTTGGGTTGAAATGCGTTGTAACGCGCGTTACTGAAATTGTAACGCGCGTTACTGAGATTGTAACGCGCGTTACTGAGATTGTAACGAGTCTAATATCACCAAAATCTGCATTACAGCAAAAAGTAATACATTATTGTACGGCTGTACAATGATAAAAATGTTATCACCATAAAAACTTTCATATCTTTCGATATAGATAATTATCATAAGTATCAAATCGTTATTTCTTTTGAGTTTAAAGGCTGATTTTTGCTCCTGAGTGATGGTGAATGGTTAATTGTGGTTTAAAATCTTCTTTATGGTCAGAATATTTGAGGGCAAACAGCGGATGACTTCTCAAATCTGAGGCAGAATATTCAAAACAATTATGATGAAATCTATATCTATCTAGAGTATAAGTAAAAGCTGTTTTCAGTCCTTTTTCCTCAACCTCTTAAAGGGGCTATATGTAAGTTTTTCAATGAAATTAATAAAATTTTCATTGCTTTATTGTCAGTGGGCTCAAAACTCACTTAGAAATGAAGCACACGCCTGTTTTCTCCGTTGCTTGCATCAGCCACTATTCTGCTTTCAATGTGAGGTCTCCGGGTCGGATTCAGCCCTGTGCGCTCACGAGCCTCTCAGACTACAGCGACAACACGGCAGCTAACGACATGCAGTCCACCAACACCATAAAACAACCGGCTCCCAGCAAAACACAGGCTCCACGTAAGGATCCAAAACAACAGTAAAGGTTTATGTGCTGAAGCCCATCAGACCAAACGGGTTCAGATGATGTCGCGTAAGAACAAAGTGAGCATTAGTAAAGCTGGAGAAACACAGAGAAAGTCACGTTAGCTTGTCGGCTAACAGCGAGCAGTTGCTAACATTATCCGGTGCAAAGTTATATAACGTTAGCTTTCCTCATTACTTCACCAACTAACGCGACCCATGTTACTATCCTGTGTGCCACTGTTGATTTAGCCTGCAAGAAAGGATGTGACGGCAAAAAGCAAATGTGGAGCGATTTGTTTACTAACGTTAGCCTATAGCGATGCAGCCAGCTAACGCTACAGCAGGACCTGCTGCTGTTTGCTTCGTAACATTCAGTTTATGTTTATTGTGGTTTTACCGTTACTCAGCTCCACAGCTTCTCCACGTCTACGTCGCTGTAACTAACGAGACCCACATAACATAAAACACTGCAACAAAGGAAGAGCCATCTGCTATCACTAGTTACAGGAAAGTTACTGACTGCGGTCTAACTGTTATAGTCACTTATAATATTCAGTCCAGCTCACTAACAGTTTCATTATCATCCAGTACATGTAGCTGTGCTGACATTGCTGAGCCTCCGGTGACAGATTCACAGATAGTAAAGGTGGTTACTGAAAGCAGCAGGCGAGCTAACGATGTAGCACGTCGGCTAAATGCAGTAAATGTAACGTCATCATGTAACGAGCGCGGATTAGTTCAACCTGCAGCTGATAAAAACATTACTGTAACGTTGCAGCGGGAGTTCAGCTGAGTTTCCAGCTCTGTCTTTAGCTGCTGTCACTCTGCCTTTTTTCCGGGAGGATTGTTCCGATATGCGGCTCGCTGCGCTGAATGAAGTAGCGTTACGGTGCCGGTGTTGAGACGGGAAGGTTGAAGTAACATCTGTGTGAAAAGCCACAGCCTGCATGCTGGTGTTCCTGCGTTTATTGTGGTATTTCTGTGTGACAGCGGTTGTGTTTCAGATTCTGCTCGCTCTTGAGTTCAAGCGAGAACGCGTACGAACACACGCCTGGTTGCAATCTTAAAACCGCACCGCTAGAGGCCGCTGGAAACTCCATAATGCCCCTCAATCAAAATTTGTGTGATTCAAGTGAATAAAATCAAACATTTATTGAACATTTGTTATATTGTTGTTTTATTGTCCAGCAGCCCTACGTTATTGTACCTGCATTACTGTTGCGACACGTTATTCCCAGCCGTGGTTTGTCGCTATAGAAACAGTTAGCTTATCCATCTGCAGCAGATTCTTTAATCTGGAATAAAAGAGGCAGTCCAGATGGGCCTTGCACTTCTGATACTAAAGTTTTAATGTCAGTTGTTTGAGCGAAACAAGAAAACAAGCTTAGGTTGTAAAATAAAGTCAATTCCAAATCTTTAGCATCCATTTTAGGGTAAAAAAATTATATATAAACCATTTAAAATCTATAAAATTATATTGTCCAGAGTTAATAAACGTCCCTGCTGTGCAATTTAACATTAAAATGAGTTGGTGCATGTTGAGCTGCAGAACAAGGTGTCAGGTTTTTTCATTTTCCAACAAAACTTGAAAGAAAAGAGTTTGCACATTTGTTCCTTGTTGAGTTTTATGGCTCAGTGTGAAATTATATTTAAGGTCAGATCTTAAACCAGCTACTGTAGAGATTTGGAGCATCACTGAAATCCGCTTTATACTGTACTGTGTGTTCAGCCAGCTACACAAACACACCTCATCCAGCAGCTTGGCTGTCACTCAAAACAAGCATTGCAGCGAGGGCGTCAATCATAACTGGAGGGCACTTTGAAACCACGCCTCCGCCTCAGAGGGAGACCTCCTGTTTATGATGAGCCGTAAGTCTGCTGACATTGACTCGGATTATTTTTATGACCTTAAAGCCTATAGGAAATCAAGTTAGTGCTCCACTTGCAGCTTCGCTCCTGACAATATGTATTTAAGTCTGAGTGGAGGCGCGATCAATGAATGTCGACATGACGGGCGAGTCAAAGACTGGCAGCGAGGCAGGAGAGAGCGAGGACAGAGACACGGATAAATGTCTGAAACGCACTCTGAAGTGAGATGAAGGGTCAAAGGTCACACTGTAGATAACTTCACCTGTGGTGGATTTGGTAGGTGAAGCTTGTGTTCTGTTTAATTGGCTTTAATTAATCCAGCATTTCCCGATCTGAGGAGCCTTTGCTCATAATTGTTTTCTCTAAAGCAACAATAAACCAGCAAATAAAGCTGCTGCTGCCAGTGAGGAACAGTCAGTCAGTGAATGTAGGGGAGAGCCGGGACCATTGATCAGAGAAACGTCATTTTAAAAGATAACGTTACAGACAGCTGATGGTTTTTTTTGTTGAGATCAGCAGCTTGTGTGTGTGTGTGTGTGTGTGTGTGTGTGTTAGTCTTAACGCATTCACAGCAAGACTAGATTTGTGTAGTTTGTAGGACTGCAGCTAATGATGGTTTTAGTAATTGAGTATTCTATGGAATATTTAATCGATGCGAAGAATTTGTGTCGATGCTTTTAGTAATTGAATAAATCGATAAATTGTTTCAGCCCTTGTAGTTTGTTGGAGAGAGAAGGAGAATAAAGTGAGACAGGCTTGCCTCTGTGTTTTAATGCAGCCGAATTCACTATTTAATTGTTTTTATCTACATATTTTTCTGTTTCTGTTGTCTAACTGGGGACGGAGCTTCATCACGGGGACCACCTGCTACAGAGCCATTTAAACCAAGTTTACATGACCCCGGACTCGCTCCAAATGTCCGTCTGCCTCGCTGCTGCCGGAGCTGATCGCAGTTATTCTACTAAATGTTTGTGCTCACACCAGGAGCTCTGCAGTGCGTCCCAGAAGCGTCCCAGCGTCAAGCAGCACAGCGCAGATGAACCTGACAGGAAGCCAGACGCAGAAACGGCACAGAATCCATTTCATTTTCAAAATAAAATACCCAGTACAGACTTCCGATCGTTTATCAACAGTCAACACAGTAAAATCAGACAAAAAAGAAACATTTTTACTACGTAGATTCTTAATCATAGTAGAAGCACAAAAAGCACTAATCACCAAATCAACAAAATTTAAACATCCAACAAAAATCCAGCATGCAAAATGCTCTTGACGTTGAAGTTGACGCTGTAAATAAACCGCTGCGCAGCCTATGTCCGTCCCTCAGAATTCCCATAATGCAGAAAGGGGAAGTGGGTTTTGTTAAAATGTGCTAAAAGGTTTGCCATTTGTTTGAAATAGAAATGTCACTTTATGATTTATGTTTATTAAAACATTATCTCCTTAGAAATTAGTGTTTAAGTTGGTACATGTCATTCTTGTGGTGGTTTACCGTTGACACCATGAGTGAAGAGACTGTTTGATAAGAGCTGCTGAATTTTGCCGGCTCAGCAGAGCTGCATGCAACGTTATTGTTCATCCGCGTCCACCTTAACTGAGCTAAACTGTACGGCCCACGTATCGGGCCCCCTACCAACCAGGGCCCTGGGGCGGCCGCACCCACGCTATCTCCACTTATGTGTCTAAGGATGAACACTCTGTTAACCAGCCGTCAGTAGCTATCCGCGATCATCG